GTGGCTGTGTGTGTCAACACAGCAGCTAATTTGCACCCAGCAATGTCGCACAAACAGCAATGAAGTGATTGGCATATTTTATTTGGGAGATTGATGGTTAGGATACTGGGAGAAACTCCTCTTTTTTTGAATAGTACCATTGGAATCTTTAGCATCCAACTGAACAGGTAGAAGTGACATCAATTTAATTTCTTATCCAAAGAATGGCACCACCAATAATGCAGCACATACTCAGCACTGCATTGGAGTGTCAGCTATATGCTATATGAATTCAAGCACCAACATGGGGCCTGACCCACAATCTTTTGACTAAGAGGCAAAAGTGCTACCTACTGAGCAAGGCTGACACACCATGGTTAATAATGCTTAATGCGACTTTAAAGAGGGAGTGAAAAGATTTGTACTGGGTGATCAGTGCAACATAGACTTTAATGTCTCTTTTATTTTGTAGACAGACAAGCATTAGACACTGACTGAAAATGAACAAAAGGCAAGGAAGTGACAGCTGTTGTAGTGATAAAATCATACCATTCACAGGAGTGCAACCTTGTTCTCAGTTTAAGCATGATTTAAGATTAAAATTAGGAATGTGAAAGTGGATGTTGGTAAATGAAGTTCTCTCAGAGTGTACGGGAGAGTACAGAATGAATTTACCAGGCTAGCTGTTCGATCAGAGTCAATTGGGGTCATTTAAAAGGGAATTGCAAATCCCTGATTTTGATCTAATTGTTTATCATGTCATTGAAACATCTTCAAGGAATTTTACCGACTGTTAGACATTTAATATTATGAGCACCTGAATATTTCAGCCAACGGTGGTATGACAGAGCTCAACCTGTGCTGGAATATCAGCGAAAAAAGATGAGAAAAACTTGAGAAAAACTTGAAAGATGAGTCAATAGCTTGTGCAGAGAGGTGAAGTTTGAGATTGAGGATATTAACACGATGTACTAGTGTGTGCGTGTGTAGCAATGTGTTGGTGCTAAACCAGACTAAGCCATGCAGTTAGTGTGGTCAGATTGGCAAGAGTGCAATCACACGATCAAAAGATTGGTTTGGATAAAAAAAGCACAAGAGCCCATCTGAGCTCATCCCTTCAGAAACCCAGAGTAGTGTCCTCTCATCGCAGCATTATGCTGTTTCTTTTAACTGCATTCAGTGTCCTGACCTCAAACACCCTTCCTGGCAACCTGTTCCAGTCACTAATTACTCACTGAGTAAAATAAATATTTCCTGGTGTCTGTCCTGAAATTGCCTCTTGCAACTCGAAATCTATGTCCTCTTAATCTGCAGTCTTGCATCCTAAATACTATTGCGTTTCGCCCACAGAATACACAGTCAATCAACTTTACGGTAAGTATATCCTGTGAAGCTTTGGGACATCTTAATAATGTGATGGCGCTGTATCAAATGCAAGGATTATTATTATTGTCCTGGATTTACTTTTTAAATATCATTTAATAATGTATTTACTTCTACAAGGTACCCTCGGAGATATCTCCTTTCAAGACTGAGTGTCTGAGAAGGAACTGAAACCTGGAAGAGAGGGAGCTTGGTGAGATCATACTGGGCATCAGTCTTGACACAAAGAATGTGAGGTTGGAACTCAGGCATGTGTATATGATACTGCAGGTACTACAGTACTACGATGTGTCTGAGGAAGTTATGCTCATCCTGGACTTTATCCCAGTGGTGATGTATTGCTCCAAAAGGTGCTGGATGCAAACCAAAACAAACGTCAGCTAAACTGGTCAGTTTACCTCGAGGGATTGAAACAACTCCCCCTACATTCCAGCACTGCTCTGTGTTGCTGCACGTAAGGTTAGAAAGAAAAGCTGGGCAGTTAGTTTCACAGAACAGCTAACCACAAACCCAATCTTTCAAGTCAGACCTCTGCTGAGAATTGAGGTGCAATTTTAAAGCTTGTGTTCTGCAGTTTTAAGATTTTTTCCAACTGAAAATAAGTGCAAGTAATAAAGATACAATAAGTGTTTTTAAAATTATCCCGTAAAAGATAAGCAGATTTTCACAAAACACCCATTAGGTGCTCAGTTATAGACTTCTGGGGAGAAATTCCACGTGGATCTAGATTTACTCTATTAATGTAGCATTTTAAAGCATTGAGAATTCGGTAAATTCTTGAATAGAGCCTTCATTTTGAAGTCAGGTTTGTGTAAGTTAGAACCATAGAAATTTATAGCACAGAAGAAGGCCATTTGGCCCATCGTGTGTGTGCTGGGTTTCTAAAGAGCAATCCTTTCAGTACCATACCCGACCTTTCCCCATACGCCTTCTTTTAAGAACTAGAAAATGACAGTTTCAAAGTTAAGACTAAATTTAACAATTTGCCATATTTCTGGTTTGCCTTTCTTTACACTTTATCGTGTTGCTCTGTGCTCTAATCCACAATTCTAGATATCTCCAACAACATAGCTCTTTGCCACTTTGGCAATTCATTGAAGTGGGTGGACAGTGGATTGGCACCAACAATTAAAAAAAATTTCTAAAAAAGTGCCATGGGAAATAGACAGGCTAGGTGGGTGGGCAAGAAGGAGTATAACGTGGTGAAGTGTGAAGTTATTCACCTAGGTAGTAAAAATAGAAAAGCGGCTTATTTTCTAGAGGGGGAGAAACTAGATAGTGTTAGTGATCAGAGGGATTTGGGGGTTCTTGTACACCAGTCACAAAAAGTTAGTATGCAGGTACAGCAAGCAACTAGGAAGGTTAATGTTATGTTGGCGTTTGTTGCAAAAGGATTAGAGTACAAGAGTAGGGAAGTCTTGCTGCAGTTGTATAAGGCCTTGGTGAGACCACACCTAGAATATTGTGTGCAGTTTTGGTCTCCTTATTTAAGTAAAAGGAGGTGCAGCGTAGATTCACTGGGTTGGTTCCTGGGATGAGGAGGTTGACCTATGAAGATAGGTTGAGTAAACTAGGCCTCTATTCTCTAGAATATAGAATTAGAGGTGATCTTATAGAAATCTATAAAATTCGTAAGGGTCTTGACAGAGTAGATGCTGTGAGACTGTTTCCCCTGGTTGGAGAATCTAAAACTTGGGGTCATAGTCTCAAGGTTAAGGGTCAGCCTTTTCGAACTGAGTTGAGGAAACATTTCTTCACTCAGAGGGTAGTGAATTTGTGGAATTCTCTACCCCAGAAGGCTGTGGATGCTCAGTTCTTGAACATATTCAAGACTGAGGTTGATAGATTTCTAAAGGATAGAGAGATAAGGGATATGGGGATAGGGCGGGTAAATGGAATCAGGTTAGGAGATATGCCATGATCTTATTAAATGGCGGGGCAGCTCGAGGGGCCGAATGGCCTACTCCTGCTCCTACATCTTATGGTCTTATGGCTCTTCTTAAAATAACTTCCAACCGATTCTACGCTCTGCTTTCTTTATCTTGATGAGTGTGCGATTTTACGGCTGGCACAAGTGTTTACTGATTGGAAGATGGTGGCACTCCGCGCGTGTGTGTGTGTACTCAAACATGTGTAGGCACGTCTGTATATCTGCTCCATACAGCTAATGGCAATTCTGATGACTAAACAGAGTTAACTGGAATCTCCACACTGTTCGGTCGGTATACCTCAATATTTCTATGCCGTAAACAGTAATGCTTCAAATGGGCCATTGCACCAGCTAGCCTTTTTTTTTATTATTACCATTTTTTGTTTAGCTGCTGGCACTTTCAACTCTGAATCAGAAGTTTGTGAGTTCAATCCCCACATTGGGACTTTGATCTCACATTGATCTCACTGTCACTCCAATGCAATGCTGGGGAGGCCGCAGCAGCGTTGGTTTTGGATGAGATGTTAAACCAAGAGACTCTTAAATACAGACAAGAGTTTGAGAGGCAGAGACGTATACACAAAGACCGTTAAGAGAGACAAATACATACACTGTTAGAGAGAGAAAGAGTGAGAGAAAGATACACGCACACAGAAACACAAACACACAACGATCTGTTGATGACCACCCTGTTTTCATATCCATCCACAAAGGATTTACAAAAGTAATCTGAATACCAAAATCAATTGCGAAGTGGCTGAGCCCAGGAAGCCAAGCACGGACCAGGATTCTCCTAGTTTGCAAGCATCTGGAACTCCTGGACTAAGTTTACTATGTGATTGTAGCCATGCGCACGCACACTAAGATACAACTGAATGGGTGATGGACGGGACAGCAACAGCTCTAGCATCGCTCATGGCAACTATATATAATAATAATCCTGTCATTTGATATAGTGCCTTCTCACTTTGTTGAGATGTCTCAAAGCGCTTACAAAATATACTGTAAAGTGAATTGACTGTATATTTTGCAGGCAAAACACAGCAGCCAATTGCACACAGCAGTGTCCCACCAACAGTCGTGGATTGAGTGGCTAAATTTATTTATTTTTTTATTTTTTTGGGAAGGGTTATTACCCCCACAACCGCCAATCGACTAACAAATGGGTTCCGCCTTACTGCTAGGTAAACAGAGGTGTGTGGAGTAAGGAAACTTGCCTAAAGTTTCGCCCCACTCGCGAATCATACCTGGGTCCTCTCGCTTATGAGGCAAGTGCTTTAACCCTAAGCTACAGGACTCCAACTATGGCAATGGGCAACTTATTGGCTCCTTTTTGGACTCAGCCATAGGAAAATGTCCCTGTGGCCAACGATAACTATTCTTTTGTCGCATATTTTGTCCATGTGAACACTTATTTATCACCAGCGATAATTATCACATCCCTAGCACAATGCTCATTTTGTCTCCCCACCTTGCTTCACTGCCAGATTATAAACCTGGACAATGCTGACTTGTCTCTGAGAAAAGGACACAACTGATTCTTTTTTGCGTGAACATAAGTTAAAAACATTTTCAGGCAGCCACAGTACATACAGTATATATATTTATATTTGGATTTATTTTTGGTTTAATTTAATGCCCCTGTGTTTCCTCTTAAGCAGCCTGTAAGAACCAATATTCAATGAGGAGCAAAGTGAAAGTGCCTTACCACTGATAGAAGATCCGGCAGGCAAAGGTTCCGTAGTTTTGCTACTTGTTGACATCAAAGCAGGAACAGTTGTTCTACTTGTTATTATCTTATGAATGGTTGGGCTTAGATTTGTTGATTCTTTCACTTTGTCATCAGGATTATACGAGCGGTTGGTGGTGTTACTGCCATTGGAGCTGGGGGTTGAGGTGGGGATGTTACTGGGGCTGGGGGTTGAGGTGGGGTTGGTATTTGGCATGGAGATGGTACTGTTACTGGGGCTGGGGCTGGTATTCTCTTCCGAAGTATTATATCCTGTGTCAGGAGTCTGAGAGGAAACAATCTCAGATCTGGTACTGACCATGTCGATGGTTGTAACAGTTTGGAAATCAGAAGTGGAACTGGTTTCAGAAGTAGTTGCATTTTCACTCCTAGTTACGACAGTCAGGATACCTTTAATAAAAGAAAAGAAAAAAAGCATGACTTCGATATCAGTTTGGTCCCTCTGCACCACAAAAATTTATATATCTAAGCAAGAACTTGGATATTTTGATAGTGCCTTAATATATCAAATGCCACCAAGTTCTTTACAACGCATTAATGTCACTAGGAGTGACTGTTTTTATCAGCAAATGTGATAGCTATATTTGCCCCAGCAAGATTTCACAAACAGCGATGAGGTGAATGAACAACAAATTTATATCATCATTGATGAAAACAGTTGGAAAAAGCTCTCTTCTCATTTTGAATAGTTTCATAGATTCTTTAAAGTCCATTTGAGGATAGGCAGGCAGGTTGGACATTAGTTTAATGACCCATCCAAAAGCGAGTACTTCAGACATTGCAGCATTTCCCTTGTGGTGTGCCTAGATCTTCTGTTTTATGTGGAAATCCAGTATATATATTTTTTAACTAAAGTGTTTTTTCATGTTTGACAAGTTAGATAGGAAATGCATCGTCCCCTGTGGTAAGAGAATATGGAACAAAGGGAATATAATGAGTTAATGTTAACAGGCCTATTTAGTGCATCATGAGAATGGCTATTAAAATGAGAGAAAAACCAATTCAAATTGAATCCACAAAACATTTCTTCGCCAAAGGTTCATGAGAATGGGGGAAACAGTGCAGCCCCAGAAAGCTGTAGACTCCGAATTAACTGAGGCACTTATAAGTCCAGATTTTGGGAAATGGGAGAGGGGTGGATGTTTTTAAGGAATGTGTAGAAAAAGAGAGGGTATGGGATTAAACAGAGAACGATCCTGAAGAAGGCTTGATGGGCTGAATGACCTACTCTGGTATCCATATTCCCATTTTGTTTTAGTCATTTCATTTTTACCCGCAATTAAGACAATTCCCTGCTTTTCGACCTCCACACTGCCCTTCTTCAACTGAAACAGTAAGGAAAGAGGGTTGGCAGTAATTTGCCACTATCGACAGTTCTCTTTATTGTTTAAGCTGTTATATGTATTGCACATTCCTCTCCCAGACACTGAGGACTCGGTCACATCACAGTCACCACAATGTGCAGCAGAACACAGCCCCCGCCTTCTGGAACTCCATCCCAGTCCCTTTGCCTTATCCCCTCCCTTGCCTAGGCCCATCTTAAGACCTTCCTCTTCGACCATGCCTTCTGCCACCCTCCTACCCCTACACTCCATGCCCTCCACCCCTCCTAATTCCAACCCCTTGCTCGGGTCCAAATCCCTGACTGTCCTGCGCCTTGGGTCTTGCTCCCCACGTGAAAGGTGTTATACAAATGTAAGTTGTTGTTGTTGATAATAATACAAATAACTTCACATGGAGTCATTTCCCTAAACCCAATGGCTCAAAGTGCTTTACATATTCAAACTTGATCAGAAATTAAAGTGAACATTGTTATAGAGGCAAATTATAAGATATTCAGGTTCAACCTCAGTGAACCTTTTCTTTCTACTTCGTTGCAGTGAGTTCCAAAGCAGTTTTCTGACCCCAAGAAATGGTCATTCACTTCATGGCTGGTTGTGCGACATTGCTGTGCACAAATTGTCTGCCATGCTTATCTACAAAATGCACGATGGTTACGCTTTACAATATTTCCTGTGAAGCATTTTGAGATGTTCTCCCGATGCAAAAGGTTCCAAATCAAATGTAAGAATTATTTATTAGGATAAAATAAAAGAATTAAATAAAAATATCGCCAAAATATATTAGGCCATGTTTGCAGCAGCGAAAATGTGTCATAGATTGGGACATTATTTTTTCGTAATATTTTTGGATTTCTTTAAATTTAAAGGACTCCAAAAGACATTATGAAAAAAATTACTTTATTGAAATGGATTTAATTTTTTTTTAAAAAATCAGTTTTATTAAAACCTTGAAGGGGATAATTAAAAACATTTTTTTTGAAAATAAAGTAACGGGGCAGAGATCGAGAAGTTTTGTTCAAGAGCAGCCCCTTTTGATCATAAAGTCATTATCAATTCAAAAATGAAGGCAAGCCAGACATTAAGGCTACAGGTCAGCCTGTTGCTTAGCCTTATCGCTGTTGTACTGAACACCCGTCGTGATTTATGCACGCACATATTTATCACACTCCGGCTGCTGCAGGACTCTGGGGTTAGCAGCACGCAGTTAAACTGGGGCTGACACTCAACACCTCATGTGGTTCAGTAATCAGCTTTCAGCACGGCAGCGAGGCAACTCCCTTGGCTGCCCAATCACTTCATCTCATGTCCGTTAGCTGGCCCGTGTTATTGCATGTCCTCAACCAAACCGATCAACGGTGAGTGGCAGGCAGTTGGAAAGTTCTAGTACGCAAGTGAGAAAATGGCTGCCGTACATCGCCTCGTGGCTCCTCACCCCCTGTCGGTCTTTGAGTGGCAATGACAGCACTCAGAGAGAGATCTGAGCAAGGGTAAGGGCGGCAGCCAGCCTGGAAAGGGGACACAGAGGAAAATCTCTGACAGATGAAAAAAAAAATCAATAGTCCAAGAATGCCCAAAGATATTACAGCAAGTACATGTTCCTTGTTTCTGTCTATGAAGTGTGGCCAGAGTGACGTGTACATTCTGAAAGAAAGGAGTGCACCAGGAAGGCAAACTAACTGGATGTTGAAAATTTGAAACAAAAAAAAACAACAGAAATAGCTGCAAAAAAAAACCCAAGGAGAAAGAGAAGGACAATTTAACGTTTCAGGCGTGACCCTTCAGCAGTAATCTAACATGTTGCTTGATATTGTAGAGTTTCCAACTTACCAGCAAGGATGAGCAAGGTGTAGTAAGTACCAAAAAGTGCCATGCTTCGTCTTGTAATATTCCTTTCACCAAACTTTTAAGTTACAAAGCATAAAGCACGTAACGGAAGAACCTCCAAAGCACTTGAAACCCTCTTGAGAGTCTTTGTCACCTAAAATCACCCTGCTTATCTCAATTGACATCATTTCCTTTTTTTGAAATAGCACAGCCAATGGAGTCACACATACCATCCTATAAATTAGGCTTCAGCCACAAACCACAGGTTGATGCTGGGCGACAGTCATAACAGGATGTGTGTTGTTAAAAAAATGCATGTGTTTAACACGCTTAATACTTACATCGTAGAGAAATTCCCCGCAACAACTACCCCTCTCCCAGCTCTAGAGTTACTCTATTAATGCAACAATATGAGTTGTCCAGAATCGGACAAATTATTGTCTGTTAGCTGGCCGAGTTATTGCATGTTCTCAACCAAATCGATCAATAGTGACAGGCAGATGGTAGATTCTGGTATGCAAGTGAGAAAAATGGCTGCCGCACATCATCTCATGGCTCCTCACCCCCTGTTGATCTCGGTGTGGCAATGACAGCGCTCAGAGAGAGATCTGAGCAATAGTAAGCGCGGTAGCCAGCCTGGAAAGGGGACACAGAATACATTCTGAAAGGAAGGAGTTCAGCATGAAGACAAACTAACTGGATGCTGAAAATGTGAAACAACCAAAAAAACAACAGAAATAGCTGCAGAAAAAAGAACCCAAGGAGAAAGAGAAAGACAAGTTAATGTTTCAGGCGTGACCCTGAAACTTTTTAATTCAGTTGTAGCTTTAAAGCCAATTTTATGCAGTCCTTAAAAATGTAGAGAAAAATGGCTTCACCATTAAGACTGTTCTTAAGAAATTGGAAAATTCTGGATGCTCACAAGCATTATATAAATCAAGTAAATCTAGACCTAGGTCGAATTTTGCCCCACAGTGTGTATTCTTCTGTCACAATTCTTCTTAAAAAAAGGAAAAATTTGCACTTTATTTCCCCCGAAAGAGTTTTAAATCAGTAATTAATCTCATCTCATATGAGTACTGATGATGGAGATATTTTCAGGTGTTTTTTGCCAAAACATCAAATTTAAATTTAATGTAGCTCTTTACCTGTGTAGCAGACCTTTATCTACAGCCCACCTCCCCTTAAAGAGGTGAACTGTAGACAGCTGGTGGGGGATGAGGTGAGAATTGCTGAGCCCCCTTGAGGCCTAGCCACCCGCCGCCAGTAGTATATAGGTTGAGTTGCCAGGGTAGATGTTAGAGCAATGACTAGACAAGCTAAGGCTTTTCAGTCTTGAAAGGACACTTCTCTAAGGGGATTGAGGTACACACAATTTTAAACGGGATTGAGGACATTTAAAAAGATTTTCGCATGCAGAGTAAGGGAATTAAAAGATAGGGCGAAAGAGCAGGGAATTGGTATTAAGACACCGACGTGAAAATATACGCCAAATGACCTCCTTGTATATTTCAATGGTTCTGTGGTCCTCCAAATAAATTGGAGATCCACCTCATAGTTGTTTGTGGGACATGCTCTATGCATATTGGTGCTATGTCGGCCTACAAATTAGTAGTCACGTCACTTGACATGAATTACCTTTGAATAGTTTAAAAACGGCTTGGGGTTTTATGCATTGTGTCACCAGATCACAAGGGAGCTTTGGAAGAAGAAGGCCCTTCAGCCCATTTGATCTCATTCTTTCCAAAACATCCACCCACCGTTCTCCAATCACAGCATCAAGCTGTTTTTTTAAGATGAACCAGTCTCCTTGCATCAATACTCTTCCTGATCACGTGTTTGAGTTGTTACTTACTATCTAACAACTAACAACCAGGTTTGATTCCCGGGCAGGGCGATACGGTGGGCAAGTTTCCTTACTCCACATGTCTCTGATTACCTAGCAATAAGTAGGAACCCGATTGTTAGTTGATGGGCGGATTGCTTTTCCTTGGGTAATAATCCCTTCCAAAAAAAGTAACTAGTAACTACTCAACAAGCTGGAACTCAAATTGGAAAAAAATGTCCTTTTTATCAGCAATTTTTTAAAATAAAGAAACATTTTTTCTTAGCTCCACAGAAACGACATGAACAAATAATAAATAACACATAGATGTTCCCCACTTTGTGAATCAACTTCAATTTTTTTCTGACAAATTTCTTCCGCATTTTTCTCCCCTCCTGAAGGCATTTCAGTTTCCTTCAACTGAGTGTAAGCCCCTCACAGCCCCTCACCTCAGGACATCACTTTATGGTGAACAATAGCGGGACAGCACAGTATTACAGTAGTAGCTATGCATTTTTTCTACCAATACCCTGGATTGCCACTTAGTCAGAGATGGCTTGGGATTCAGTTCCTGCTCCAGGTTAGCACTCGAGTTACTAACTGGTGTCATCAAAGTTTAGCAGAGAACAGGAAATTTGATCTTGATCTTAAGTTAAACAAATCTGCACATCCACATTATCCATATTTAGAGCACTGAAAATTGAGCGTGTTAAATTGATCATAATGGTTCTCATTACATAACACATGGCGAGACCCCAGGCGTCACAAACTCTCTATTTCCTGCTTACTCTGAGAAACATTTCTCCTGCCAGCAGATGTCTGGAAAATGTTTTACTTTTTAACCAAGAGTGGAGAGGGTTAGGGATTTTTTTTTAATTTTTTTGCCCCTGTGAGATTCAAAGACAAATTTATGCTCTGCATTGAATTAACATTAGCCAAGTTTATTTCCTACCTTTCTTTTCGCGTGTGACTAAGAGGGAAAATCCTACTCCAAATTCCAGGTGTCCAAACAGTCCTTCAATAAAAAATAATTATTAGTATCAATAATAATAATGTCAAAACATATAATATTTTGAGCCTATAATGTCAAGACATCTCAATGCACTTTGCAGGTAATTACCTTAAAAGGAAGCCATTATATATTTGTAGCCAAAATTTGAATGACCAAGTTTATGACCAATGTAGATTGTTGGTCAGGACATAGGAAGAAACTTTTTTCTATTTTCTATAGTGCCACAGAGTCTGTATTGTGGACCTTACATTCCTTGATATTGCTAGCATTTCCAGGTTTGAAAGTATTGAAGATGACTGCATTCATTATAATAAGGGCCCCAACTCAAACTTCCCTTTCCTAAATTAATTCACGCTTTCCAATCAATGAATATTCTAGCTTTTACCTGCACTTTTGCAGTAGTTTTACATCACCTGGACGGAACCTTAAATTGCAAGAGACAAAACCACAAATTCAGAAAATCTCTGTATACTAAATTCACAATATTTTGATGAAACTAAAATAGACAGATGACTTACCCTATGCTGTAGGATATGGACCCAATCTTTTGTCAGGGAAGCACTTCATCAAGAATGTTGGAAAACATTGTATTTTTCTTGAATGTGTCAAAAAACAAAACCTATTGTTTCACAAAATCCATTCATGCCGATGCCATGATAAACTTCAGCCAAGAGCCAAATATATTTGGCATACATATTCATTTAGATTAACCAAGTCAAAAGTTGTGACAAGCAAGATTGTTGGTCAAGACACTGACAGAAACTTCTTTCNTTTTTTCGGAAACTCTCGCAAAGGACTCCTAAATATGTATGCCTCTTACTCTTCCGCACTCGCTCAAGCATAGTATTCTCACAGAAAACTATCCTCCATCACATGGTCAATCCTTGCAATCCCTAACCTGCATTTGCTAAATGACTGTGAATCCCTCACAAGTCAAAACACCTTTTCGCTGCATAAATGAATGTGTTTCTTGTAAATGTACATGAAATGTAAACGTAAACAAAAGAATGCATAGATGAGTTAGAACAGGAACAGAAAGTATGGGGAAAGGCTTGAGGGGGCGATTAGGATGAGTATAAACACTGGCACGGACTAGTTGAGCCAAATGATTTGTTTTGGTGCTGTAGATTCAACAAAACATTTTTTTGAAATAATAAGAGAGGAATACTTACATTTTAAGTCAGTCGATACTGATTTCAGTGTTTTAGTGTTTTGGCAATTCTATTTGTGTGAGTTGTGCCTATTGCACATAACTGCATCATTATGAATTGTGTTCCTTTGGTGCACCTTGGCTGGTTATGTGTTGTGTCGAAATATAACACATTCAAAATCATTCAATGAAGGCGTAGAACAATTACTCACTGCTCAAAGTGAAGGATGCTGAGAAGTGATGGGAAATTGGTTTTAAGTTGTGATATTGAATGACTGAGAATTTCTGATATTTTCTCCTAATAAGAATGAAATTAAAAATACTTCTGCGAGCAATAATGTGCATGTGTAAATAATGGGATTATATTTTTGGTATTTTTTTATTTATAACCTCAGTGCATCCTCATTTTTTTAATTTTTCTCCCCAATGGAATATGCCTCTTTGCTCCTAGGCTGGTCTCCTCTTGTTGTGGTACAGTTCAATGGGCACTGAACTGCCCTTTAGCATGATATGTACATGGACAATGTTCATATGTGAAATTTGACAGTGAGTATTAGCAGGTCATCTCACTGTAGAGGGCATCACAGCCAAGCCTAACATCTTCCCACCCTCCTGCCACTCATATGCACGACCTGTAGAGGGTGATGTAGAGGGACCAAGAGTCGGAATCCTGCCTGTTACTTTTCTTCCTAAATCTTCATGAACCTAGGAAGGTTAGAACCAATTCACCTCCCCAGGCAGCCCCAGCTTACAGATCAGGATTCAAACCAGTGAGCACTTGATCTGTAAGCTGCAGGGTTATTCGCTGCACCGATGGGGCTGTTTCTTTGGTATTTCTTAATGGAATTCTGTAATAAGGATCCTCTTAATATTTCCTTTAACCCACAGGAACTGAGATCTGGAAGTAGATTATATTGGAGCAGAGTTCCTGTGGGCCCTTCCTCCTTGCATGCTCAGTGTTCCTTATTGAATCATTTAGAACAGGCTGAATAGGGCTTAGGAATGGGGCGGTGTTAATAGCTATAAGTCAGATGTAATATGGTGTGAAAAAAGCAGTGCATGGGAATGTGTACTGCCATGCAGTAATGGATATTTTTTAATAAAAAATATTTGGAGATTTAAACTAGCATTAGACGGTATAGAATGGATGAGATAACAATTGAGCATTCATTGTAGTCAATACTTGAAAATGCTTGGGTCTAAAAAAGCTGTTTTGAGCAGGAGAGGGAG